CTTTAAAAAAAAAAAAAAAAAGAATCTGGTCATCTGCATGCAAACAGTTGACCTGAAGAAGAAAGACAGCAGGATGAAACTTAAAGTGATTACTCAGAGGAACAAAGGATTTTAGAAGTCCCCAAAGATGGAAAATGAGACTTATAATAGAGCAGAGTAAAAGTGACAAGAATTTAAATATATTATTATGTTCCTTTTAGATGTAGCCATAAAAGTCATTTGCCTGTATCTATATGATTGCAATTTCTTTTGGTAAGTTCTAGATATACAGTGATGTATATTATCACAATAGTCAAATTTCACATTTTTGTGTGGGTTTATATACATAAGGTTGTATATTCAACTTTTCAATATGGATGGGTCAAAATTTAAAGTATATGTCCTTTGACCAAGCAATTATATCTTCAAGAATTTATTCTTTTTGTTTGGTTTTGTTTTTGTGGTTGTGGGGATCAAACCCAGGGCCTCATGAGTGTCAGGCAAGCACTATACTACTGAGCCACATCACCAGTTCAAGAATTTATTCTTAAAAGCAATTATCAAATAGTGTGTACAGTTTTTAAATAAAGACAATAAAGGGCTAGTTTTTAAATTCTGTCCTGAGATTAATCTCATTCTTTCTATAGAAGTTAAACTTGTATAAGGATTTTGAAATTTCAAATTGTGGTAAAATATATACAACAATAAATTTATCATCTTACTCATTTTCAGATGTCTAGTTCAGTAATGTTGGGTACATTCATATTGTGCATCCAAGCTCCAGAACTCCTTTCATCTTACAAAACTGAAATTTTGAACCCATGAAGCACCTCCTCATTCCCTCTTCCCCTCAGCCTCTGGCAACTACTTTTCCACTTTGCTTAACTGTGATTTTCACTACTGTAACTACTTCATGTAAATGAAATTATATAGTATTTATTTTTGCCACTGGCTTATTTCACTGAGCAAAATGCCTTTTCCTCAAATCTCATCCAGGTTGTAGCAATGTGTCAGAATTTCCTTTTTTAGAAAATTAGTTTCAAATAGACTACTTTTTTTTTCAGTAGTTCAGGTTTACACAAAATTGAATGGAAGATACAGAGATTTCTTTTATAATCCTTGCCCTCATACATGCATGGCTTTCCCCTCTATCAACTTACTGCACCAGAGAGGTGCATTTGTCCTGGTCTATGAGCCTGGATTTACATGCCATTGTCACCAAATTCCAGAAGTATACATTAGGTGTTTACATTGGTGTTGTATGTTCTATGGGTTTGAACAAATGTATAATGATATGTATCTACTACTATGGTGTCATACAGAGTAGTTTTACTGCCTTCAAAATCCTCTGTGCTTTGCCTATTCATCCCTCTATTCCCCTTAATACCTGGAAATCACTGAACCTTTTACTGTCTGCATAATTTGCCCTTTCTAGAAGGTCATATAGTTGAAATCATGTGTTATATAACCCTTTCAGATTGACTCCTTTTACCTGGTAATGTTAATTTAAGGTTTTTCTATGGCCTGATAGTTAATTTCTTTTTAGTGCCAAATAATAATTTCATAGTTTGGATCAACAACATTTTTCTATCTGTTCATTTACTGAAGGACATTGTGTTGCTTCCAAGTTTTGGCAATTGCAGATAAAACTGCTGTAAACATCAATGTGCAGATTTTTGTGTGAACTTAAGTTTTCAATTCCTTTGGGTAATACCAAGAACTATAATTGCTGGATCGTATAGTAAGAGTGTATTCAGTTTTGTAAGAAATGCCAAACTGTCTTTGAAAATGACTGTACCCAGCAATGAGTGACAATTCTTAATCCACATTCTGGATAGCATTTAGTGTTGCTAGTGATTTGGATTGTACCTATTCTAATAGGCATGTAGTGGTATCTTGTTTTAATACCCAATTCCCTATTGGCATATGATGTTGAAAATTTTTTTCTATGCTTATTTATCACTTGTATACCTTCTTTGAGATCTCTCTTCAGATTGGTTATTTTACTATTGTTGAGTTGTAAGAATTCTTTGTTTATTTTGGATAACAGTCCTTTATTAGATATGTCTTTTTACACATATTTTTCTCTAACCTATGAGCTTATCTTCTCATTCTTTTGACAGTGTCTTACACAGAATAAATTTTTTTTTTAAAGAGAGAGGAGAGAGAGAGAGAGAGAGAATTTTTAATATTTATTTTTTAGTTCTTGGCGGACACAACATCTTTGTTGGTATGTGGTGCTGAGGATCGAACCCGGGCTGCACGCATGCCAGGCGAGCGCGCTACCACTTGAGCCACGTCCCCAGCCCCCATTTTTTTTTTTTTTTTCTGGTTTTATGTTCTGTTTTGTTTTTGGTACTAGGGATTGCATATAGGAGCACTTAACCACTGAGTCACATCCCCAGCCCTTTTTGTTTTTTATTTTGAGATAGGGTCTCAGTAAGTTGCTGAGAATGACTTTGAACTTTCAGTCCTCATGCCTCAGCCTCCTGAGTCACTGGGATTACAGGCATAACGCCACTGTGCCTGTCTAGAGTAAAAGTTTTTATTGTTTTGAAGTCCAGTTTCTCAATTCTTTCTTTTATGTATCCTGACTTTGGCATTGTATTTAAGAAGTCATTGCCATAAGTTATCTAGATTTTTTTTTCCATATTATCATCTAGTCATTTTATACTTAGGTACATGATCTATTTTGAGCTTATTTTTGTGAAGAATAGAAGATCTGGTTGGGTACAGTGGTTGGTGTCTATAGTCCCAGCTACTCAAGAGGCTGAAGCAGGGGATTCCTTGTACCTAGAAGTTCAAGGCAGCCTGGACAAGACTCCATCTTAAATAATTAATTAGAATAAGGTCTGTGTCTTGATTAGTTTTTTGATGTGAATGTATATGTGTTCTAGCACCCATTCATTGAAAAGACTAATTTTGTTGAAACTTCATATTGACTTTGCCCCCCTATAAAAAAATCAGCTGACTGGGACTTGGGTTGTAGCTCAGTGGTAGAGTACATATCTAGCATATGTGAGGTTCTAGGTACAATTCTCAGCACTGAATTTAATAAACAAAAAAAGTCCATCAACAACTAAAAAATATATTTTAAAAAAAAATCAGTTGACTGTATTTATGCATGTCTATTTCTAGGCTCTCTGTTTTTGTTTCATTGAACTAATTGTTCTTTTGCCAGTATCATACTGTCCTGATTTCTTTTCTTAAAGTCAGATGGTGTCAATCCTCTTACTTTCTTATTCTTCAGTATTCTGTTGGCTCTTCTGGGTCTCCAGCCCCTCCGATAAACATTTGTGTGTGTGTGTGTGTTGGTGGCAGCCCGGGGCAGGGTGGGGCGGGGGTGAGTATTGAACCCAGGGATATTCTACCACCAAGCTATGTCCCCAGCCTTTGAACCCAGGGGTACTCTACCACCAAGCTATGTCCCCAGCCTTTTTGAGATAGGGTCTCGTTAAGTTGCTTAGAGCCTCTAAGTTGCTGAGGCTGGTCTAGGATTTGTGATCCTCCTGCCTCAGCCTCTCAAATCACAGAGATTACAGGTGTGTGCCACCATGTCCAGCCTCTCAGTATAAATTTTAACAACAGTTTGTTGATATCCACAATAGCTTGCTAATATTTTGTTTGGGATTATGTTGAATTTAGAGATGAAGTTGGAAGAACTGACATGTTGTTTGTCACATCCTGAGCAACAGTTTATTTACAGGTAACCAAACTGGTTGATAAGGGGATTAGGAAAAAAACAGACACAAAAGTAAAGAAAAAGCTAGGGCTTTTCGGTCCAGTCTGCTTCTGGTGGAGGAAGACTGACCATGAGCAAGCTTGCACGTTTACTATATAGGTTTAAACTTCAGAAGGATTTATTGTGAGAAAGCTTCTTCAAGAGAAACAAAACCAGGGGCCTTGTTGTGGCTCAGTGGTTGAGCACTTGCCTAGCGTGCACGAGGCACTGGGTTCGATCCCTGGCACCACGTAAAAATAAAAACAACTAAAATACAGGTATTGAGTCCATCTACAACTTTAAAAAATTATAAGATAAACAAAACTGAAGCTGACGGTAAAAGCAGCCCAATTAGAACTCTACCTCCAGGCAGCAGACATTTGAACCCAAAGTTTTGAAATAATAAAACTCCTTGGCTAACAAAGAATTTCCCTTTGAACAGGGCATCACTATACAACTGGGCAGTTTTCTGTCAGGACCTTTGCACTGAGAAATTCCCTTGTCTCAAGAGAGATGTTGCCTCTCTCTTTGGGCAGTTCAGAGACCCATAATTCATTTGTTACTCCTGATAATTGATAGTATTGAGTCTTCCTATCCATCAATATGGAATATCTATTTATTTAGTTGATTTCTTTCATCAGAGTTTTATAATTTTCCCTGTATAGATTTTGTACCGATTTTGTTAGATTCATACCTTCGGATTTCATTTTTTGTGGGTGTTAATATAAATAATATGTTTTAACTTCAAATTCCATTTGTTCATTGCTGATGTATAGGAAAATATTGACTTTTGAATGTTCATTTTGTATCTTGCAACCTTGCTATAATTACTATTAGTTCCAGATTTTTGTTGATTGTCTTAAATTTTTTACATAGAAAAATATGCCATCCATTAACAGAAACAGTTTTGTTTCTTCCTTCCCAATCACAGTACTATTTGTTTATGTATTGTCTTATCGAATTAACTAGCATTTCTAGGACAATGTTGGAAAAAGTATTGAGAGGAGACATCCTTATTTTTTTTCTGACTTTAGTGGAAAAGCTTCCAGTTTCTCACCATTAAATATAATGTTAGCTGTAGGTTTTTTGTAGATGTCTTTTAACAAGTTGAGGAAGTTCCCCTTTATTCCTAATTTGCATTTTTTTTTCCTTTTTAAGGCTGAATAATATGTGGTATGTATGTACCACATTTTGTTTCCCAATCACCCGTTGATGGACACTTGGGTAGCTTCCACCTTTTGGCTATTGTGAATAATGCTGCTATGAACATGGGTATACAAATCTCTCTTTGAGACCCTGCTTCCAATTCTTCTGGGTAAGTACCAGAAGTGGAATTGCTGAATTGTACAGTAGTTCTATTTTAAATTTTTTGAGGGACCAATATACAAAATATTATATGCAAGAATTCACGATGCTGATGTTTATAACATCAAAATTTTGGAAGCAGCCTTGCTTCATCAGTAGGTGATTGGTTACATAAATTACAGCACATCATACAATGACGTATTCTGTAGCTCTTTAAAAACAATATGGTAGATCTATAGAGTGATTTTTCAAAATTTATTTTTATTTATTTATTTATTCGTTTATGTATTATTTATTTGCGTGCCTCACATGTATTAGGAAAGTGTTCTACCACGAGCCACAACCCCAGTCCCTCTATATAGTTTTAATGTGTTAAAATGTCCAGATATATTTTAATATGAGAAAGGCAAACAATATATATAATATGCACATTTTAATTTTAAATCTATATACATATATCTTGTGCTCATTTTTTTTTCCAAGAATAATGAACTAGAAAGGGAAAGGAGATTGTAAGTACAGCAGGAGAGCAAACTTCACTGCATTATAATTTACTGCTTCAGTTTAGGGTTTACAAAAAATGTAGCTTTGTAAGCAGAGAAGTCAATTTGAATAAACGTATGAGGGGGTTAACTCCCATTTTCTTTGAAATACAAAGAAAATGTTAAGTATTTGACTTATTTACAGTTTTTATGTCCATAATGTCAAATGCTAGTCACTGGGATATTTTGTTTTCTTTTATGTTTTGCATTACTAGGGACAGGTCCCTAGGACTTTGCATGTGTTAGGCAAATGCTCTGTCACTGAGTTACATCCCTGGCCCTTTTTATTTTTATTTTGAGACAAGATTTCACTAAGTTGTTCATGGTGGTCTTGAACTTGTGATCCTCCTGCCTCAGCCTCCTGAATAGCTGGGATGACAGGCGGGTACTATCATGCCTGGCAATTTTTGTTGTGTTCTTATATTTTTAAAGTCTTTTTGTTATTTGTGTCAAGAATATTTGTTAGTTGTGACGTGAGATATAAAATTATCACAGTGAATTTCCATCAAAATGGTTTCACATAAGGAAAACGTCCTTCCATTAAAAAAAAAAATTTAGTTGTAGATAAACACACAGTATCTATTTATTTTTATGTGGTGCTGAGGATTGAACCTAGTGCCTCACATATGCAAGGCAAGCACTTTACCACAGCCCCAGACCCCCTCCATATTTGAATAGTGCTTTCTGTTTCCCGTGGCTTGGTGTGATGAGGTAAGTAGTGAAATCAGGCTTGTCAAAGTCCTTTTGTTCTTTGGAGAAAGTATCAATCTTTTTCTTAGTTTAGGAATCATGCTACATTACACGCTGAATTCTGTTTTTTGTTTTGTTTTTCTTTTATTCTGGCAGTAGATCTTCATGGAGGAACACGGAGTGACTCAAACTGAACACATGGCTACCATAGAAGCCCATGCAGTGGCCCAACAAGTACAACAGGTCCACGTGGCTACTTACACTGAACACAGTATGCTAAGTGCTGATGAAGACTCCCCTTCTTCTCCTGAGGACACCTCTTATGATGATTCAGATATTCTCAACTCGACGGCGGCTGATGAGGTTACAGCCCATCTGGCTGCTGCAGGTAATATTTGAACTGGGATTTTTGGTTTTTTTTCCTTTACTTGTGGTACCATTCTTATCTGAAAGATTTAGGATCAAGGCAGGCACTCTCACATTTATCTTCATCACAATTTTTTTTTTTAGCGGTGCTGGGGATCAAACCCAGGGCTTCACGCATGCTAGGTAAGTAGTCTACCACAATTTTTTAAGCCTTGCATATAATTACTGGGACTTGATCTACAGTCATTTACTATTAATGTATGACTTTTGTTTTATTGTCTTATCCCATTCTGAAGGTCTTTGGTACCAGGGATTGAACCCAGGGGCGCCTAACAACCACTGGGCCACATCTCCAGCCCTTTTGTTATATTTTATTTAATCAGAGTCCCACTGAGTTGCTTAAGCCCTGGATAAGTTGCTGAGGCTGGCTTTGACTCACGATCCTGCTTCTGTCTCCCAAGCCACTGGGATTACAGCTGTGTGCCACTACGCCTGGCTCTCTTTTGGCTTTTAACTGAAGTATTTATTCCATTTATATTAAATGTAAGAACTGATATATTTAGATTTAAATTTGTCATCTTGGGGCAAGGGATGTAGCTCAATGGTAGAGTGTATGCTTAACATGCTCGAGGTCCTAGGTTCAATCCCCAATACCAAATAAATAAGTAAATTTATTATTTTTTATTTAACATTAAATCTTTAATAATTTGTCTATGTAAATCTTTAAAAATTAAATAATTTCTTCACCTATTTATTTGACATATTTACTACATGTTTTATCTTTGCTCACCTGTTATATTTACCTTTCTGTTTGGCTTTCTGTTTTTTGAGTGATTGAAAAGTTTTCTTTCTTTATCTTTCTTGTTAATTTGGAAGATATATATGCTTTTACTATTGATGGTTCCCCTTGAAATTAAATCATACATCATTCATTTATCAGAGTCTTATATACTTGGTACTTTTGTCCTTCATGGGGATATAATTTCATTCCTGTGTTCCTGTCTTATGCTATTATTATCTGGTGTATTCATTGAATATTTTAAACCCCACAAGATATTGTTTTATACATAGTTGATATTCACTTTTTTTTTTAAAGAGAGAGTGAGAGAGAGAGAATTTTAATATTCATTTTTCAGTTATTGGCGGACACAACATCTTTGTTTGTATGTGGTGCTGAGGATCGAACCCGGGCCTCACGCATGCCAGGCGAGTGTGCTACCGCTTGAGCCACATCCCCAGCCCGATATTCACTTTTTCTATGTCTCCAGTTGCCTTATGAGATCATTTTTCTTCTGCCCCAAGGACATCATTTAGTACTTCATTTAGTATGGATCTACTAGTAGCAAATTCTGCTTTTGCTTATCTGGGAACGCTTTCATTTATCCTTCAACTTTGAAGGATATTTTCTCTAGGAATGAAATTCTAGATTGGTGGTTATATTCTTTTCTAATATTAAAGATAGCGTTCTACTGTCTTTTTTTTTTGAGAAGTGTTAAATATTCTTTATTTAATATCATACATAAACCACACTAAAATGCCTTTCCATAAGGAAAGAATAGCATTTTAGATACAGGGAATTCTAATTAAATTGGCATGGTCAACAAAAATATAAAGTAGACACTGCTTCCTTATCTTCAACCACTGCCTTTAATAGGCTAATGAACACAAATTGAAACAAATGTAAATCATGCTTGGTTCTGAGAGAGTGAAGTGATTTCCCCCATATTTTAAACATATTCACATAATCAGTTCTATAAAACTAAATATAAAACCAGTTTTCAGATGTCATTCACCATTTTTGTGAAATACTGAACGTTACTAATTAAGTCCAACCACAACGTTAAACACAGGAAACAGTGATAGAATTTACTGAAGTGGGAATATAACCAAAATATTAATTTAACTACAAGTCAGTTTTACTTAAATCAGGATTGTCCAACAAAAATAATTTTGTCATTCATTCATGATCCGATTTCTGGTGTATCACATCAATTAAATTATGGTGCACATAAAAAAGCCAAGAGACATTTCTGTTTTGTAATAAATAAGGCAGTAGCTATTCCTCATTAGTGGCTTTTTTGAGGTAAGCTATTAGGTCTGCCCTTTCTCCCTTCTTCTTAATGCCAGTGAAGATCATTTTTGTTCCAGGGATGTACTTTTTGGGATTCTCCAAATACTCCATCAGTGTATCCTCTCCCTAGGTGATGCCTTTGTTCTTGTTGGCATCTGTATAAGAGAATCCAGCAACCTGACCTGTCTTCCGCCCAAACAGACCATGGAGATTTGGCCCAGTCTTGTGCTTGCCTCCCTTTTCCACCGTGTGGCACTGGGCACACTTCTGAACAAAAATCTTCTTGCCTTTCTCAACATCACCCATTTTTAATTCGCTAGTGCAAAGAAGGTTCCCGATCAGAAGCTGGACGTCCCACTCTCTCGAGTTCTACTGTCTTTTGGGTCCCATTGTTGCTATTGAGAATCCAACTGTTTCTAATGTCTACTAATTCTTTGAAGGTTATCTCCCATATTTGTGCCTCCCTACTAACTGTTTTTAAGATTTTCTGTCTTTAGTTTTGTGATGTATCTGGCTCTGATTTCTTCTCTTTAGGATTCTTTAGATATCTTGAATCTGAATTATTATCTTTCATCAATTCTGAGAAATCTGAGCCATTACATTTTGTTTATGATTCATTCCATCTCTTTCCCTTTATGACTCCAATTAAATTTGTTAGTCTTCCTCACTGAATCCTTCATGTCTCTTGCCTTTTGTTCTGTCTGTACCATTCTTTTGTCTTTTTATGCTTTATTCTGTGTAGTTTGTTCTGTCTTTTAATTTATTAATTTTTTTCTTAGCTGTATCTAAAATGCTTTTAAATCTGTTCACTGAATAACCAATTTTGATAATTGTTAATGGTTTGGGCTGTTTTTTGTCCCCCCCCCTCCCTAGTTTTAGATGTTTATTTATTCACAGTGCTAGGGATCAAACCCAAGGCTTTATGCCTAGGCAAGTACTATACCACTGAGTTACATCCCGAGCCCTAGAATTTCTAGTGTGTGTTTTTCCCCTTACAAATCTGCACTGTTGCAGTTTCTAGCTATGGTGGTGGTGGTGGTGGAGGGGAGTTTTTAAATCCCCTTGAATAAAGTAAACACGATTTTACAATTTATCTGGTAATTCAACTTTCTGCAGTACTTATGGATCTCTGTTGTATGCTATTTAATGCCATTTCTTGTTTATGTTGGCTTGTCTCTTCATATACTAGTTATATTTGAATGCATGCTGGATGATGTTTTTGGAAACTTATTTTTAGAAATAAATTTTGAGTCTAGGATAATGTTAATTTCCTCTTGAGATTTTTTTTTTGGGGGTGAGTGGGGGGTTGGAGTATTGGGGATTGAACCCAGGGACACTTTCCCACTGAGCCACATTCCCAGCCCTTTGAATTTTTTATTTTGAGACAGGGCCTCATTAAGTTGCTTAGGGCATTGCTAAGTTGCTGAGGATAATCTTGAATTCTCAATCCTCCTGTCTCAGCCTCCCAAGTCTCTGGGATTAGAGTCTCTGCACCCAGCTTACAATGATTTTTGTTTGCTTCTGCCAAATATCTGAGGGCAGTGGGAATCCTGGATCATCTTAATCCAATTTAAGGTTTTGAGACTTTCTAGAGTACTAAGTGACTTAAAGCTGGGCTATATTTTATATTATTCTATTTATATTGTAATAGCACCATAAAAACTATGCCTAGATGGGTCTAGTGTTATATAAAGAATAAATACCTTAGAAGATATTTAGGAAAAGCTGGACAGGAAATCAGTGCTCAGGAGTGGCAAAAATACTATCTTTATAAATGAATGCTGTATTTAAGGAGAAGGAGACGGATACAATGAAGAATGAGTAATCTTATATTTTCAGTTATTATCTAGTGTGTTAATTCTGGAATGGTGATTTAAAAATAAGGCTTAGAGCTGGGGATATAGCTCAGTGGTAAAGCACTTGCCCAGTATGCATGAGGTCCTTGATTTGAACCCTGGTACTCCCACCCCCGCCCCCAAAAGGCTTAGTGGTGTAAAAGATGAGACGTTTAACATATGTTTTGTGAAATTCATACACTTCCCAGAAGAGGGCATCCTAACACAGTGAATTTAAGTCAATGTTTTTCCTATAAAGGAAGATACTGCATTGTCATAGTGTTAAGACATGCATATTCCCTAAGTTCAATTCCTAGCACTGCATTTAAAAAAAAAAAAACTTAGGATAAGTACTGTAGTTTAACACTTTCATGTGACATGTGTGGACACTGAGGGAGAAAAGATTTAGTGTTAACAATAATTATTGAGGAACTATTACTAGAAGACAGGCAAGAACTTGCTCCCAAGGAAGCTCTCAGTCTAGTGGTGGAGGAGGGATACAAATAGTAAAGTGATATAATTTCAGTGAACATTGAATGCTCTGAAGAAAATAACAAGGTAAAGTAATGGTGAGAGAAGGTGGGCTAGTGAGTGGTTGGAGAATGTTCTCTGGAGATGGTTGTCATTGACAGGCAGTTAAGTATCAACAAAGGAAAGGGCATTTCAGACTGAGGAAATAACCAGAGCAAGAACTCACTAATGGGAAATAGGAAGGAGGACGAGGTGGTTGGAGCTTTGTAAGCCAGAAGAGAAAATGGTGCAAGAGGGAAGGTGTGAGTCAAACCACACAGGGTTTAGGAGCTGTGTAAGGTAAAGAATTTGTAGAGACTGCAGAGGCCATGGTTAATTGCCTGGGCTTGCATTTGAATCCTAACTCCACTTAATGCTAGCTAGAAGATCTTTCTGAGGAGTGAGTCTGTAGCATGCATCATATTTGAAGGAAACCCAGAAAAGGTAAATGACCATCCATCTTACCACATTGTACCTCAAAAATGCTTCTAATTCTCAGCAGCCCATTTCTCTCTCTCTCTCTCTCTCTTCCTCCCTCCCTCCCTCCCCCTCTCTCACTCTCTCTTAAAAAAAAAAAAAAACTACTTGAGGGTATATGCAGGAGGGGAGCTAGAGGGCCAAAGATAGACTAAATACTGTCTTTCCAAATCAGTGTATTAACTTAAATTTTCATACACAGTGGTAGAGCAAAATGGGAACTTTAGCAATTTAAGAGCTGACAGGCTGTGGTTTTGCATGCTGACACCCAGCAGCTCTGCTTACTGACATTTAACCATAGGGGCTTGTAGCCGCTAACAGGTACCTTACAGATAACAGCAGTAGTGGAAGCAGGAAACAGTAACAGGGACAGAACAATTCCCTTTTAGGCTTAGTGCAATAAAAGTCCCTAAACTATATGAGCTACAAGTCCCTGGGCTGTTGACAAGCTTCATCCATATAAGAAATGAAGAATGCACCCTCCAAAAAAATGACACCAACTTTCTTGCCTGTGTGTACCCAAAACGTGCTTATGGATAAAAGTTAAAACCCTACTTTGATCAGGTTCAGACTTTGGACTGTGCTGCTGCTAATAAAGTGTTGCTTCCAGATCTCGGGGTCCTGACCCTTAATTCCCACTACACTAGAGTACCTGTTGATTCTCATCCCCATATTTGGTATTATTAGTCTTTTTCATTGTTCCCAATCTAGAAGGTATAAAATAATATCTCGATGTTGGTGTTTTTTTAGTTTAATTTAATTTTTTTGCAGTTTTGGGGATTGAATCTAGGGCCTCAAGCTCACTTTGGCACCTTTTTCTACCACAGAGCTGTGTCCTCAGTCTTCAGTGTTGGTTTAATTTGCATTTCTCCAAAATAGAGTCTGTTTTTCCACACAGACAATTAGCACCATATTTTTGATAGTCTATTCTTTTCTTACCCATCTGCTCATATGGTAGAATGTTTATGAACTTTTCAATTCATTTTTATTGGCTTGTCTATCCCTGAGCCAGTTCTACACTTAAAAACTATACCTTTATAGTGACTATTTAATTATAGTTATTATTTAATATGTGATAGAATGAGTGTCCTCTCTTCTTAATATCTTTTAGATTGCCTATTCTTGGCCATTGCACTTCCATTTAAATAATAGCTTCAATTATCAAGTTCCCCAGAAGCCCTTACTGGGATTTTCATTTGAATTGTGTTGAATTTATAGATTGATCAAATTAAGCAACTTTATTCATAATAGCTTAAAATTGGAAATAGCCCAAGTGCCATGGATTAATTAAACTAGTTTATTCTTACACTGGAATACTACTCAACAAGCAAAAAGGAACAAATAACTGAATGGATGAATACTAAAAACATTTTTCTAAGTAAAAGAACTTTACTAAAGAGGATATATGTTGTATAATTCTGTTTATTGAAGTTCTAGAATAAGTAACACCAAAGTAGCGTGAAAAAAATCAGAAAATAGTAGTACCTTTGGGAGGATTAGAAAGGGGCATGAAATAACCTTTTTTATTTATATATATACACACACACTATATACTTGAGTTTGTGTATTTCATTATATGTAGATTTTACCTCATGAAAAAATGCAAAAAAAAATATTGAATTGTAGCTAATGATATGCCTGCTGAAGTATTTAGAGCTATCATTGACATTTGCATTTACTTTGAAAGGCCTTAAAAGAATTTGGATTGGTGAGTGGATAAATATATGTAGTGAAATGTTAAAATTCTTTTAACTTTGCTTAATGTGTGGAAGTATTCATGATAAAATGTTGGATTCCTATAACTCAATAGAAAAATGAAGAAGCTAATTTTAAAATGGGCAAAGGACTTGAATAAATATTTCTCTAAAGAGTTAAATAGATGGCCAGCAGCTATATGAAACAATGCTTAATGTCGTCCAAGAACATCAAGAGCTGCAAATCAAAACCACAATAAAGTAGCACCACACACTTGTTAGGATGGCTGTTATCAAAAATATGAAAGATAACTAATTTTGACAAGGTACGAGTAATTGGAACCCTTTTTTGGAGTTTCCTCAAAAAATTCAAAATAGAAACTGTTGGATATTTACCCAAAATATTTTAAATCAGGATCCCAAAGAGGTATCCCACGTTCATTGATGCCTTGTACACAATAACCATGATGTGAGAACAATCTACATGTCCAGTGATGGATGAATGACTAAAGAAGATACAGCATATATGTACACAAAATGGAATATTCAGCCATGTAAAATGAAGGAAATCCTGCTGTGTGACAATGTGGATGCATCTTGAGGACTTTCTGCTAATTGAAATAAGCCAGTCACAAAAGGACAAATACTGCATGATTCTACTTTTGAAGTATCTGAATAATCAGACTCGTAAAAGCGGAGAGTAGGATGGTAGGACTAAGGGGAAGGATATCTGGGGAGTTTATGTTCAGCAGAGTTTCAGGGCTGAAGGATGTAGCCTAGTGGTAGTTTTTGCTTAGGGTGTGCAAGGCCTTAAGTTTCATCGTTAGCGCCACACATGTGCATGCATGCACACACACAAAGATAGCTTCACTTGTGCAAGAGGAATAAGTTCTTGATATCTGCTTGTACAAAATTATGCTTATAGTTAATTAATATTGTACATACTTAAAAGTTTTGTTAAGGTAGATTTTAGTAATGTTAAGTATGCTTACTATAATTTTGTAAAATAAAACATTGGGAAAGAATGCATCAGTAAGATTTCTTTCTGTACCAACTGAAAGAAAGCAGTCAAATATTTTCAGCTTGCTTTTGGGAATCAAGTTTGGCTGATTAGGCTACTAAACAACATGCACAGAAGCTCATCTGGATTTTCCTGAAAGCTTATTTTAATTCGTTCACTTAGAATATACATGCTGGTATCATTGTGAGCAATTCAATTTAGATTTATTTAACCCTTCTAGAGGGTTCACTAATTAGGATAAAGGTAGAACACCTTTTTAAAAAAAAAGAAAAAAGAAATGTATTTGATATATTGAGAGTGCAGGTATCAGAGACTCTCATTGTTCATTAGGGTTACCTTTCATCCACCCTGCAAAACACACACACACACACACACACACACACACACACACACACAATACACGAGTTTTAGGGCAAGCCAGACCAGATTTTATTCTGATTTCCTCCTTAGAGCAGGGAAGTTTTCATCTCTTTTCTGCCAGGATGCTTTCATCAACTTGACCTAATGGCCAACATCTCCCCTTTTGGGCAAAATTCCCAAAGATAACAAGAAAAGTTTTCAATTAAGGATGGTATTCTTTTACATATTCCTCTTATAGGTGATGTTGTTGCAGTTTCGGGTGTGAGTGTTTTCTCTTAGTACCTTAACTTGGCTGAGTGCAAATGAAAGTAATTTGTCTCGGTTTTGACAAACCTTCATCTTAATGCCACAGTTTGTCCTAGCACCTCTGAGAATATTGCCATTACAGACCAGGCATGCTGGCAAAACAGCTTTATACAAACTTCAAGCTGGTGTGTGGTGAGGAGGTATAAGTCATTTGTGCTGTAAAAAGATTCATTGTAAGTTTTAGTAGTAAATTGCAGTATGATTCATGTTAAACAATAGTGAAGTATATTGTTAGTATCAGAAACATTCCATTTTCCCTGACAATATATTAGGAAAGAAATGCTAAGTTTTTTGTGAATCTTTAATTGCTTTCTGTCTTATACAGTTGCAGGCTTCAATCTCAGCACATACTTAACTATTTCAGGTCCTGTGGGAATGGCTGCTGCTGCTGCTGTGGCAACAGGGAAGAAACGGAAACGGCCTCATGTGTTTGAGTCTAATCCATCTATCCGGAAGAGACAGCAAACACGTTTGCTTCGGTGAGGGATCCCTTATCCCTATTATTACCCCCCCTAAAATGCTTCATGAATAGATGACAGGGTTCCTCAAGGACATCAAGAGTCCTTAATGACATATTTACTCTAAAGTACTATTATAAAATTAAAGAAATGAAAATCTAGAAATATGATTTAAAAGATGTGTTATATTCCATTAATTCATTCAGAGAAAATTTGTATGCTTTCTGTGTGCCAGGCATTATTCTAGGCATTGAGAATATATCAGTGAACAAAAAATTCCCTTAAAGAGCTTATATTCTGATAGAGGGGGAAAGAAGAGAAACAAATCATGTTAGATTGACTATAAATGTAGTAGAAAAAAATTAAGTGGAGTAAGGAAAATTACTGTAAGAAAGGAGGTGGGGAGATATAGTAGTTTTTCTCTTATAGGGATGGTCTGAGAAATCTTTTTGATAAGTCAATCTTTGAACAGAGACCTGAAGGAACTGAAAGAGCAACCATGTTGAAGTACAGGGGAAGAGCATTTCGGGCAGAAGGAATATCAAGATCCAAGGCTCTGAGGTGGGGACTCGCAGTCATGTTGAGGGACAGTTGGGGAGAACAAGAGAGGAGAGATGGTAGCATGCTGGAGGAGAGCCCAATCATGAAGTCTTACCTTCTTATATTAGTGTTTTAACTCTTAACTCAGAGTGAGGTGGGAAGTCAGTGAAGGCTTTTGACCAGAGCAAAGATGCAATCTGATGTGAGTGCTTAAAAAAAATCACTCAAACTACATTCAATAAACTGAATAGACTGAAAATAGACTGGGTTGCAAGGATGGAAACAGGTTATTGTAGTAATATATATAGGTCAGAAATTATGGTCTTAAAACCAGTGTTGTAAGTTGGGCACAGTAGCACACATCTGTAATCCCAGAGACTTTGGAGGTTGAGGCAGGAGGAGCACAAGTTTGAGGCCAGCCTCAGCAGCTTAGTTAGACACTGTCTCAAAATTTTTAAAAAATTTTAAAAAATTAAAAAAGGGCTGGAGACGTAGCTCAGTGGTAGAGAACCCCTGGGTTCAATGCCCATTACAACGACAAACAAAACAGACAACCCAATGTCAGAGCAGCAGAGGTAGTAAGAAGTGGTCAGGTTCTGGATATATTTCAGAAGACAGCTCAGCATGATTCCTTGATGGATTGGATGTGGAGAATGAGAGAGAAAAAGAAATGAAGAGTAACCTCAAGATTTTTGGTTTGATTACTGCGACCAATAGAGATGGCATTTGCTGGAGGAGGAACAGGTATGGGAGTGAAGGCAGGGCAGAATCAGTCCTTTTGATTTGTTAAGTTTGTATATCTCTTAACCATTCAATGGTGATACAGAAGAAGCAATTGGATATATGAGTCTGGAATTTAAAAGAGAGTTCTTGACTGAGCATTATATACATATAGATAGTGTTTAAAACACAGAGACTAGGAGTTGTGTGTACCGAGACCTGACCCACTCTACCCTTTTAAGATTGTAGAGATAAAAGGAAGCATCAAAGAAGTCTAAGAAGCAACCAGCAAGTCAGGAGAAAAAAACGAAAGAGTGGTATCCCAAAGGCCAAGTTCAAAAAGTGTTTCAAAAGGATAACCTATGTCAGCCCTATCAAATGTGATTGAATAAGATGCAAATTGACCATTAGATTGATCAGCATAGACCTCATGATTAAATTTGTTGACTGTTTTTCATAGGAATGAGGGTAAAAGGATTGAGGAGAACAGAAAGATAGGAATTGAATATAGTGAATATAAACCATTCCTTCAAGGAATGCTGCCAGATTTATTGCTGAGTATGTGGTCTTTGCTTACCAGTACCTTGAAAGGGTAGACTAGAACCCAGAAGAATTATGAAATGTAGGACTTTAGAATAATCTGCCCAGGCTTCTATTTCATCCATTGTTGCTATACTGTAGTCGTATCTGTGGGTTTATTTTCTAAGGTTTGTTACCTGTTGTCAACCATGGTCCAAAAAATAGTAAGTGGAAAATTCCAGAATAAATAATCATTGAGTTGGAAATAACTTTTACTTTATAGTGTATTTTTATAATTGTTTTATTTTATGATGACTGTTGTTAATCTCTTAATTGTGCCTAATTTATAAACTTTATCATAGGTAAGTATGTATTAAAAAATATATTTAAAAACTATATATATATGTGATTTGATACTATCTGATGTTTTAGGCATCCAGTGGGGGTTCTGGAACATATCCCCCACAGAGAAGGGAGGAATACTATATTTGCAAAGAGAAGGAGGGGGAACTATTATATTTGTAAAAGTTCTTACTCCATCAAGTTGTAAATTCTGGAAAGACTAAGAGTTATTGTTTATATCACAATGGAAATCTGACACTACAATGTTTTTTAAATAATATTTTTGGATAAAATTATGTCTGTGAGAAATAAAAAATGACTGTCAATAAAAGAAATTAGAAGCAAGTCATTTAAACCCCTTCATTAAGCATAGACATGATATAATAATATTTGTAAGAGGAGATCTCAGCCATAATCCTTGAAAGTAGCAATAGATGGTGTTGGTTAAGATTAAGAAGAACCCACTTGAATCAAAATGTGAAATATGATATATCAAGAACTATGTAATGTTTTGAACAACCAACAATTAAAAAAAAGAAGATTAAATAAATAAATAAATACATTCATTATTAAAAAAAAAAAAAAAGATTAAGAAGAATACTGCTGTGTTCAAAATCATCCAAGGCAGGCCTGGGGATGTGACTCAAGCGGTAGTGCGCTCGCCTGGCATGCACAGGGAGCTGGGTTCAATCCTCAGCACCACATAAAAATAAAATAAAGATGTTGTGTCCACCAAAAACTAAAAAATAAATATTTTAAAAAATTCTCCCTCTCTCTCTCTCTTTAAAAAAAAATCATCCAAGGCAAAATTTTTGTATCACCCGGCTCATTTTTGTTCTTTAGGAGAATGGTCTAAAGAGGCTATCACACCTCACACTCCTTTTTTCACATTTAGGTAAAACAATGAATATCTGATCAGAATTACTTACCAAGTAAGTTTGATTTTTCTTTGTGTCACTATAATTTCTTTTCTTTAACTGCTTTTGTTCTCTTTTCATTCTGATTCAGGAAACTTCGAGCCACATTAGATGAATATACAACTCGAGTGGGACAGCAAGCTATTGTCCTTTGTATCTCACCCTCCAAACCCAACCCCGTTTTTAAAGTGTTTGGTGCAGCACCTTTGGAGAATGTGGTAAGTCAGAACTAAGCTGTGTGCTCAGATGCCCTTTGCTTTGTGTGGGTGTTGTCTTTTGATCTTCTTTCCAGTACAGTAGTTAGCACTTCTGTATTCTTCTTGTCTAGGGATAGAAGATGGGAACCGGTTTTCAAACCTTTTAATGCAGATTAAAACAAAAAGGATTATTAGTGTTTCTACTTTCTATAACAAGGTATTTTATCTCGTCAGATGCAACAGGAAAAAGATAATGTTTTGTTTATTAAGAAACCAATGCAAGACTTTGTAAGAAAATGAGTGATTTATGTCTGAAACAAATGCTAGATAGTTCTAAGGTGTCAACTTTTTAAGGAAACCTGGGAGGTTTTTGTTTTGTTTTGTTTTGTTTTTGACCAGGGATTGAACTTGGGGACACTGGACCACTGAGCCACATTCCCAGCCCTTTTTTGTATTTTAATTAGAGATTGGGTCTCACTAAGTAGCTTAGCGACTTGCTTTTTTGCTGAGGCTGGCTTTGAACTCATGATCCTCCTGCCTCAGCCTCACAAGCTGATGGGATTACAGGTGTGTCCGGCCGGCAGCATTTTATTGACCAGATAGCATTTCTTCAAAGAATTAATTTAATACTCTGCTTTAATTGAGAAATACATTTGAAAAATACGTTGCTCAGGCTGGTCTCAAACTTGTGGCCTCAAGCAGTCCTCTGCCTCAGGCTCCTGATGCTGATACTAAATGCATGTGCCAACTCACCCACCTTGAGTATTTTTATTTTATAACTATCTATAGTTAATTTTCTAAAAATAGTATTTTGCCTTTCCATACACATACAACATCAACTACTCTTTCTGTGGTCTTTAATCATTAATAGAATAATAATCTGACAGGATTTAAATTACATTTGTTTCTGTGACCCTAGAATTAAGATGCATATTAGGACTTTTCCTTAGAAGAATATGATAGAAGCCATCTAGTTCAAATGATGCCTGGCAAGCATTCCTTACCATCACACTTTTAATAAATAAGAAATTTGGACATGGATTTTCCTCTTCAGTATTTAAAATCTTAAACAGTGCTACTACTAATAAAAGTGATAATGTGATCTATGAAAAAGACTCATCTGGAAGACCCAGAACAACATTTCTGAAAATTAGTCACTGAAAAATCTAAAAAAAAAAAACTCTTGGGAAATTGTTGGCCTCCTCCATAGAATACAAAAAGAATACTGTCTGTATAAACAAGATGGACCAGACTAAGATTAAAAAGCAGTGTTTGATAAAATATAGGTTAAAAATGCAAATATCAGCAAAATTAGAAGCAGTATGCAGGAATTAATAAAATGGGGTTTATCTATGTATCTAGTTTTCCAGACAACTAAAGAAAATTAAAAACAAAACGCCAAGTCAGTATGCAAAAGATAGAGAACAAGGGAAGAAATTTAAAACAAGAAAGACAAAAACACAAAATATAGAGCAAGGAAATATCAGCAAGGCCAACTAATTCTGTTTTAAGCCATAAATATGAGTGGTTTAAACTGCTTTGTTAAAAAACAAAGATTTTCCTTCAGATTAGAACAACAATCCAAATCAAAACTGTAATCAATTTATATGAAATGTTTATAGCCAATCAAAAATATCAAAAGTAACTGCAAATGATGCTACCAATGATTATACCAAGAAAGTATAATCATTAGTTATTAGGGAAATGTCAGAATCACAATGAAATAACACTTTATACCCACTAGGATTAGAGTAAACAATAATGAGTGTTGGTGAGGATATGGAGAAACTGGTGAAAATGTAAAATGGCACAGTTGCTCTAGAAGTCAATTTCACAGTTTCTCAAAATGTTAAAAGCAGACTTATCATGTGCTCTAGAAATTCTACTCCTAAATTATACCCAAGAGAACTGAAAATATGTTCATAAACAAGCTTGTATACAATGTTCATTATTTATAGTAGCCTAAAAGTGGTAACAACACAAATATTTACCAACTGATGAATAGATAAATAAAATTGGTGTATCTATACAGTGGAATATAGAAGTGGATATGTTGGTGGAAGCCAAGAGGTTGGGTATCTACAGGGAAGGGGTCAGGAACCAGGGAATATAAGCTAGGCAGAAGCTAAATAAGGCAAAGAAATGGAGGCTCCAGCCTGCTTACAACCTTGACTTTATCCCAGAGGAACCAAGAAAATCAATTTGTGAGATTTTGAGCCATTAAGTTTGTGGTAGCCATAGGAAACAAATATGTATGGTGTGAATTATATCTTTATAAAGCTATTTTAAATGTAAAAGTAAAACCAGGCAAAAATGTGTCAGACAAACATCTATAAATCATGGCTGGGTATGATGGCTCATGCCTGTAATCCCAATGGCTAAGAGAAGCTGAGGCAAGAGGATCACAAATTCAAAGCCAGCCTCAGCAACTTAGCAAGGCCTTAAGCAACTCAGTGAGACTCTGTCTCTCAATGAAATACAAAAAAAGGGCTGGGAATGTGTCTCATGGTTGAACACACCTGGATTCAATCCCTGGGACCAAAAACAAATAAACAGATAAATAAATAAATCATGAATCTCAAGGCAAAAATGTATTAACTGAGAACCAGAGGTTATTTAGTATTGATAAACAGTTTAAAATTATAACGAACTTTTTATTTTTATGCCTCAGGTACCATTAGAGCAAAACAAGAAAATCAAAAAGTTTAAAATGTAATAAATGAAAAAAGGGAAAATTCCAAAATGGTAGTAAGAGCTTTTATTATCTTTGCCAGAACAAAGACACAAAATATAAATGAGAGTATAAAAATTAGAACAATAGAACTGGTAAGGTCGTTATAAAAAATACATAAAAGAATAAACAAACACATGGAAGAAATTAATGAGTTAACCAACAGAAAAAAATATTAGAGGGAGACAAAAGGAAATTGATGTAGAAATTCAAGAATTAAACTCAAGAATTGGTTCTGTGAAAGGTCTAATAAGATAGAAAAACTTCTTGTATATTAAGGAAGAAAAAGGGAGAAGAAAAATTTGCAGCCTTAGAGATGAGGTATAGACAGTTAATGCAGGCAGCCCCCAACTTCAGATGGTTGGCTTTACCAATTTTTTAGCTTTACTAATGGTGCAAAAAGCATATACAACCATTCTCTGTCTTTTAGACACTATTCAGCTTATGATGGGTTATTAGAATGTAACTTCATTGTTAAGTCAAGGAACTTAAATCAGTAAACTTAATCAATAAATACTGATAAGAAAAAAAGGAAGTTATAAGAAATATACAGTAAGGACATTCTATATATATTAATCCTGTTCTTTAAAAAAATTTTTTTGTAGTTATAAATGGACAGAATGCCTTTATTTTATTTGTTTATTTTTATGTGGTACTAAGGATCAAACCTAGTGCCTCACACAAGCTAGGCAAGTGCTCTGCCACTGAGCTACAGCCCCAGTCCTTAATCCTGTTCTTATAAATTAAAAACTCCAGCTAAGCAGCAAAATGTGATAAGAAAAAATAGCCAAAACATATCCAAACCTCAGCAGAATAATAAAAATATTAACTGAAACTTCAATAGAGCAATAAACATATAAAATTGGAAAAGTAACTAAAGAACTATATTCCTCAAAGAACTACTAGGCCCTAATTATTTTGGTTGACTTTTTGTTAAACCTTTTTGTTGTTGTTGTTTTGTTTTGTTTTGGTAGCAGGAATTGAACCCAGAGGTACTTGACCACTGAGCCACATCCCCAGCCCTTTTTATTTGGAGACGGGGTCTTGCTAAATTGCTTAGGGCCTCACTAAGTTGCTGAGGCTGGCCTCAAACATGC